GCCTGAGGGAGCCATGAGTCTTTCATGATGTATTTCCCCCTGGGAGGGGCGCCTGAGGGAGCCATGAGTCTTTCATGATGTATTTCCCCCTGGGAGGGGGGCCTGAGGGAGCCATGAGTCTTTCATGATGTATTTCAACCTGTGTGGGTTGAGGGGTGTCTGAGGGTAGCTGGACGCAGGGCTTAGTGACCCGCTGGACTCTGGGATGTGACCCGCTGGACTCTGGGATGTGACCCGCTGGACTCTGGGATGTGACCCGCTGGACTCTGGGATGTGACCCGCTGGACTCTGGGATGTGACCCGCTGGACTCTGGGATGTGACCCGCTGGACTCTGGGATGTGACCCGCTGGACTCTGGGATGTGACCCGCTGGACTCTGGGATGTGACCCGCTGGACTCTGGGATGTGACCCGCTGGACTCTGGGATGTGACCCGCTGGACTCTGGGATGTGACCCGCTGGACTCTGGGATGTGACCCGCTGGACTCTGGGATGTGACCCGCTGGACTCTGGGATGTGACCCGCTGGACTCTGGGATGTGACCCGCTGGACTCTGGGATGTGACCCGCTGGACTCTGGGATGTGACCCGCTGGACTCTGGGATGTGACCCGCTGGACTCTGGGATGTGACCCGCTGGACTCTGGGATGTGACCCGCTGGACTCTGGGATGTGACCCGCTGGACTCTGGGATGTGACCCGCTGGACTCTGGGATGTGACCCGCTGGACTCTGGGATGTGACCCGCTGGACTCTGGGATGTGACCCGCTGGACTCTGGGATGTGACCCGCTGGACTCTGGGATGTGACCCGCTGGACTCTGGGATGTGACCCGCTGGACTCTGGGATGTGACCCGCTGGACTCTGGGATGTGACCCGCTGGACTCTGGGATGTGACCCGCTGGACTCTGGGATGTGACCCGCTGGACTCTGGGATGTGACCCGCTGGACTCTGGGATGTGACCCGCTGGACTCTGGGATGTGACCCGCTGGACTCTGGGATGTGACCCGCTGGACTCTGGGATGTGACCCGCTGGACTCTGGGATGTGACCCGCTGGACTCTGGGATGTGACCCGCTGGACTCTGGGATGTGACCCGCTGGACTCTGGGATGTGACCCGCTGGACTCTGGGATGTGACCCGCTGGACTCTGGGATGTGACCCGCTGGACTCTGGGATGTGACCCGCTGGACTCTGGGATGTGACCCGCTGGACTCTGGGATGTGACCCGCTGGACTCTGGGATGTGACCCGCTGGACTCTGGGATGTGACCCGCTGGACTCTGGGATGTGACCCGCTGGACTCTGGGATGTGACCCGCTGGACTCTGGGATGTGACCCGCTGGACTCTGGGATGTGACCCGCTGGACTCTGGGATGTGACCCGCTGGACTCTGGGATGTGACCCGCTGGACTCTGGGATGTGACCCGCTGGACTCTGGGATGTGACCCGCTGGACTCTGGGATGTGACCCGCTGGACTCTGGGATGTGACCCGCTGGACTCTGGGATGTGACCCGCTGGACTCTGGGATGTGACCCGCTGGACTCTGGGATTAGTGACCCGCTGGACCCACCTGAGAGTGACCCTGCAGAGCCCACCATAGATGCTGCACAGCCCACCTGAGACTCTCTATGGCGGGCTCTGAAGGCGTCTCAGGTGGGCTGGTCAGGGGTGCATCTCCCTCCCAGCTCCTCTTACCTGCTCCTGGTGCCTGTACACCTGGCCTACTCTGCCGCCGGACTGGCCGGAAGTGATGTGATGTCACTTCCGGCCGGTCCGACCTCAGAAGAGGAGGGAGGTGATGGGGCCCCAGCCTGTCTTGAAGCCGCTGGATGGGCAATGCTGGGGCCCTAGGGCCATGCCTCCTCCGTCGGCCGATACTCATGTAAGGGTCCCGGGGTATCAGTGCCATGAGTCTTTCATGATGTATTTCACCCTGGGAGGGGTGCCTGAGGGTACCGTGAGTCTTTGATGCCCCAAGCTATGAGCCAGCGCACAGCACACTATCATACACACTCCAATTTCTGGATGTGAGAGCGGCATGGATTCATTTTTTGTTTGGGGGGGGGGGCGGCAGATAAGTGACTCACCGTAGCGGGAAGGACAATTCCAGTTGCTCGATGATCTGCAAAAGAATAAAAAGAGTCAGCGATGAGATTTCTGGAATAACGAGCACAGAGGTCACTACGTCCAATCAGAACGCCTGGTCCTGTAATTCACCGCCAACCGGGGACACCGCTGACAGCCTCATTTCCTGGCTGGAGGACGTCCAGCATCAACTATCCCTTTCCTTCCTAGCCTGATCGTCCCTGGCCCCGCCCCTTTCATTCAGTGGATTTCAATCATGGAGTCTCAGCATCACATGGGGGTGTTACCTAGGATGGTCTGTATGTATAAGAGGCCTGTCCATGGAACGCCCACTCCTCCAGACTGACACCCGCCCATCAAGATATTCTGATATTTGCATAACTCCTCCCATGAGCCACATGTGGGTGTTACCTAGGATGGTCTGTATGCAAAAGAGGCCTGTCCATGGAACGCCCACTCCTCCAGACTGACACGCGCCCATCAAGATATTCTGATATTTGCATAACTCCTCCCATGAGCCACATGTGGGTGTTACCTAGGATGGTCTGTATGCAAACGAGGCCTGTCCATGGAACGCCCACTCCTCCAGACTGACACCCGCCCATCAAGATATTCTGATATTTGCATAACTCCTCCCATGAGCCCGATGTGGGTGTCACCTAGTATGGTCTGTATGCAAAAGGGGCCTGTCCATGGAACGCCAACTCCTCCAGACTGACACCCGCCCAGCAAGATATTCTGATATTTGCATAACTCCTCCCATGAGCCCCATGTGGGTGTTACCTAGGATGGTCTGTATGCAAAAGACCTGTCCATGGAACGCCCACTCCACCAGACTGACACCCGCCCATCAAGATATTCTGATATTTGCATAACTCCTCCCATGAGCCACATGGGGGTGTTACCTAGGATGGTCTGTATGCAAAAGAGGCCTGTCCATGGAAAGCCCACTCCTCCAGACTGACACCCCCCCATTAGGATATTCAGATATTTGCATAACTCCTCCCATGAGCCCCATGTGGGTGTTACCTAGGATGGTCTGTATGCAAAAGACCTGTCCATGGAACGCCCACTCAACCAGACTGACACCCGCCCATCAAGATATTCTGATATTTGCATAACTCCTCCCATGACCCACATGTGGGTGTTACCTAGGATGGTCTGTATGCAAAAGAGGCCTGTCCATGGAACGCCCTCTCCTCCAGACTGACACCCGCCCAGCAAGATATTCTGATATTTGCATAACTCCTCCCATGAGCCCGCCCCCTGCTTGCGTCAGGGCTGAGGGCTCCTGAGCGCAGTACTGAGGCAGTGTGCCCTGCTGGCTCTCTGCCCAGGCTATGTACAGCTTGGTGATGATGTCACTGCTACTTTTGCAAGCTAATATCTGGGTTTGGGGAGGCATTTGGTGTACGCAGAGCGGATTTATATCCTTGGCGGCTATTGAGGAATATGTTTTTGTGCCCGGAGTTCAGCTTTAATATTTTACCATCAGGTCCCCGGCCACCTGGTCCTCCACCACGGAGCCAGAAGGTGACCTTGTGCCACGGCAGCCTGAATGGTCCTTATGTGAGCTGCGACAATGACACAAAAGACGTTCCGCATCTGGAGACGCAGGAAGAGGGGGACGCAGCGTGAACACGGGCAGAGGGCGTCAGAGGATGAGCGGCGCGGTGTACGGGGGTCACAGTGGTGTGCGGGTTATGTCAGCGCTGCACGGGGCCCCTGGCCGGGCTCCAATGCTCACCCCCCCCCCCCCCCCCCCGCCCACACCTGCACCCCCGC